TGTAATGGGAACTAGTTGCTGTGCTTTCAGTCTTACTATATGTCACATATCTATAAAAATGGAAATAACAGACATGTTATAAAATAATTGTAAAAACGAATATTGTATGAAATATTTTGGGCTACATATCTAAGAATATGTCACGATATCCAGTTATTGTTGCCAGGGATACTATGTAAAGCAGCAGCCTCCAAACGTTTGGGTGCCACCAGGGACCAGTTTTGTGGATGGCAATTTTTCCACGAACCAGGGGTGTGTGGTTTTATGCGCTGCCTGGATCCCGCATGGGTGCAGATGGGGCTTTGCTTGCTTGCGCAGCCTGCTTCTTCACAGGCTACAGACTGGTGCTGGTCCATGGCTGGGGACCTCTGATGTAGAGGAAATATATTCAGTCAAAAAGGAACTGTTGAAAGAAAAATCTTCATCAGGGTCCAGTCCAAGCCAGGAATAAACAAAGTGGAGACTGCTTTAGAAAGAAGGTTGTAGTTTATTGAAGAGCAGAGCCAGACAGAAATGTGGCTCTGGGAAAGCTGACCACATGTAGCTGGGAGTGGTGGGTTTTTATACGTTCTTGGGCTTTTGTGTTTGAGGTTGTTTCCTGCTCCTGTGGCATGAACTTTGACCTGAGCTTTTGAGCATTCCTTTTGGTATTCTGATATGTTGGGTTCATTTCATTTCATTTTATTCAATTTGTATCCCGCCCTTCTCCCGAAGGACTCAGGGCGGCTCACAACATTTTTTTAAAACAAAAACAAACCCACAAACCCCACCGAATAAAACCAAATTAAAACCAATATTTTAGAGTTGTGGTGATTAAAATTTCTAAGAAACCCAATTTAAAATCCTCCCTAGGCCAGGCCCGCTTGTTGGAAAAGCCATGTCTTGAGGGCGCGGCGGAAAGTAAGGAGATCCGGAATCATCCGGATCTCGGGGGGTAGTTCGTTCCAGAGGGCAGGGGCACCCACAGAGAAGGCCCTCCCCCTGGGGGTCGCCAGCCGACATTGCTTGGCC